AAACCACTACACTTTCCCTTTCGTTCTCAAGGCCTTCTCTGACCTCCGCGACCTCGAACAAGGGCAGTGCGTCCATACCCAGATCATAAAAATGGGTCATTTTAATGATATTTATGTTCAAAACTCTTTATTGAATGTGTAGGCTTCTGGTGGGAATATGGACTTGTGCCGGAAAGTGTTTGATGAAATGCCTCAGAGAGATGTGGTCTCATGGACTGTTATGATTACCGGGTGTCGAGAAGCTGGGAAGTTTGATGATGCCCTAGTTGCTTTTGAGAAGATGCAATATGCTGGTGTAGTGCCGAATCAAGTGACTATGGCGAATGCTTTGTCCGCGTGCTCGAGTTTTGGGGCTATTGACATGGGTATTTGGATACATGGTTTTATAAAGAGGAGGGGCTGGGTATTGGATGTGATTTTGGGAACTTCTTTGATTGATATGTATGGAAAATGTGGGAGAATTGAAGAGGGTTTGGCTGTTTTCCAAAGCATGAAAGAGAAGAATGTCTTTACATGGAATGCCCTTATTAAAGGCCTAGCTTTAGCAAAGAGTGGGCAGGAGGCGGTTTGGTGGTTTTCTCGAATGGTGCAAGAAGGGGTTAAGCCAGATGAAGTAACTTTGATTGGAGTTTTGTGTGCTTGTAGTCATTCTGGATTGGTACAAATGGGACAACAAATCTTTAGTACAATACTTGATGGAATTTATGGATTTTCACCAGCGATCAAGCATTATGCATGTTTGGTTGATCTGTTTGCACGGTCTGGATATCTCTAAGAAGCTTTCAAGATCATAAAAGAAATGCCCTTTGAGCCGACTAAACCAGTCTGGGGAGCTTTTCTAGCTGGTTGTAGAGCTCATGGAAACCTAGAATTGAGTGAGTTTGCAGCCTGGAAACTCATAGAGTTGCAGCCAGAGAATAGTAGTTATTATGTTGTGCTGTCTAATCTTTATGCATTGATGGGAAGATGGGGTGATGTGGAAAAGGTTAGGATGCTGATGAAAGAGAGGGGACTTAAGAAGAACTTGGGTTCTAGTTCAATAGAGTTTCGACCTCAGGATCATGTTCATAAGTTGTTAGCACAATAAGTCTGTAGCATTCACATATAGAGAGAGAAAATTGGCATGTATGCAATTCAGCTGTTTGAATTCTTTCTTTGGATATAATAAACTTAGCAGTAGCAATTAGAGTACATTTGGCTTCTAAATGAACTCTCATGTCGACATGCCTTGTCAACTGATTTGCACAAACATTACGTCGACTCGAGGGCTGATGTTAATGTCCTGATTGAAAATGCGGTTTGCTGCTGTCTGAAGGAAATGAACTATAAATTAAGGGGATTGGATGCTGCAGATTTTGTTGGGATGTCTATTTGACTTGTAAATCAAGGACATTGGACTCTCCTGATTATGGGGTTGTCTCATTCATCAACTGTAAGCACCCATTAACTTTTTCTTCTCTTTCATTCTCTTTTTGGTTAGATGAGGAATTAAGGAATGATAGATAACTAGGGTTGATAAACACAAGTCCTTGCTTATTTAGGATTATAATGTTGGAGTATTTCCTTTCATCAGATCCTTCCTAGGAGATAATCGGGTCCACAATCACAAAGTCAGGTTGCTTTTATTAACCAGACATAGAATGAATGTGTGGAATTTGTAATCATGCTTCAATTTTGGACAGAAAGAACAAGTTACAGAATTCCTGTGCATGCAACTGTTTGTTGATTTCAAGATTTCCCTTTGAAAATTTTTCTGTTTTAATTTGGTTTAGTTTCTAGTCTTTGGTGATGAAGTATGATTTCTGTGACTTGAGAAACTGATATTTGTAAATTTGTTGATTGAACCCTTTGTCCTTGCCAATTTGCTTGTTATGCTGTTGCATAATTTAGAAGACATCAGTACCTCTGTTCTAGTGATTGCATGTCAAAGAAATTTTTTTTATTATTATTATTTTAATAAAAAAATTACCTTCCAGAACTGCTTCTCTTCACCAATTTGTTTTGTGGGCTGTGCTCAATTAGTGGTTCAAAATGGAAAAAAGGAATGCATACAATCCGAATATTCCACAAAGATAGGAAATTTACTTCTTGATGGTCCTTGAGATACAAAATTATTTCATATTGACTTGGAAAGCTTACTGCTTTCTCAACCCATCGAAGGGATGAAAGACAGGAAGACTAGAAACCTACAAAGACAGACAGGAAATTGCAAGACGGGGTTGAGAGAACATTGCGTGCTACATTGAGTACAGAGATTAACGTTAAGCGTAATTGTTGATTCGCATTGCCATGACCTAAAATGACTTATTTTAGCTTGACTTATATGACTATTTTTTTTTTTTTTTGGTACATCGGAAAGGGAAATACAAAGAAGAAGCAAAAGAAATAGAAAAAGAAAGCAAAGCAAGAGAAGGCACAGCCACCCTAGAGACGACGATAAGCCGTCCCAATCATATCTGCCACCACTTGGCTCCGAACTCCAGCGGGTGGATCATCCACCATCACCAACTGCTCCATTTGATCAGCCCCCATACTAGCAAGGAGGTCAGCACATTTGTTACCTTCCCGCATAATATGACGAATAGTGCAATTACACCTACGGAACAGGTGTGGAGCATTCTCCACTATGTTGCGGGAAGAGCAGTTTTGGAGAGGACATTCATTGAGCAAAACGGCAGCCGAAGTAGAGTCTGTTTCGACTATAACTTCATGCATTCCTTTTTCAAGCACGATCGTGAGCCCTCGTTATGAACCCCACATTTCAGCTTCGAGGCTTTGACATGAGTCTAGTTGCCCAAAGAACACAAATCCAAACACCTGCCTCATCTCTAAAGACGCCTCCAAACCCACCTTTCCCCGGATCCCCACGGGCGCATCCATCAGTATTAAGTTTAATCTTCCCTGCAGGAGGAGGTAACCAATGAACCAAAATAAGAGATTGCCTAGTAGATTGTAAATTTAAATCAAAAGCTTGTTGAATCTCATTAACATAATTATAAGTAAGATAGACAATTTTTGGCCAAGAAGGTGCAATATTGTAAAAAATTGTCCTGTTTCTCTCTTTCCAAATTTGCCAAACGGCAACCCCAAAAACTAGGCTCCAGTTGGAGTCCACATCAGTATGGGGACGAAGATTCCTTTCAAACCAATCAAGGAAAGACCCCTGCCTATTCAGAACACAGCCCTGACTGCCAACCAAATTATCCCAAACATGTTTCGAGTGTATGCAACTATGAACCAGATGTTCAACATCTTCCAGATGATGATTACATCTAGGACAACTAGCATCATTAGATAGACCTCTCATCATTCGCAAAGCATTAGTCAAAAGTTTATCATGAAAAATGAGCCATAAGAAACCTTTCAGCTTTTGGGGAATCTTAAGTTTCCAAACCCAGTCCAGAAACATAGGATTCTCCACCAGAGGAGAAGCAATTTGATAAGCTGTGGCAGCAGAAAAGTTACCACTTGGAGACTCCTTCCAAAAAGGAGTATCAGGAAAAGTAACAAATTGAGGTAAATGAATTTGAGCACAGCAGAATAAACATCTCTGGGAAGATGAGACTCAAACAAATTCACATCCCACTCCCCCAAACCATTCATGAGCTTATCCACCGTTTCCATATTAATGGAGTTATGATTCGGATATTGGGATGCTAAATAGGCTTCCCCACACCACCAATCATGCCAAATGGAGATCTTAGAACCATCACCAACCCCCCATTTGATGCCTTTTCTCAAGACATCCCTCCACGTAAGGATACCCCGCCAAGTAAGGGAGGAGTTCCTTTTAGAAAAATAAGTCATAAGTTGATCATTAAGCAAATATTTCTGCTCCAGCACCTTTACCCACAAGCTAGAGTCCTTACAAAGGATTCTCCAGCCCAGTTTTGATAACAATGCTTTATTCTGGAGGTTAGCCCTGCGAAGACCAAGCCCACCAAATTTCTTGCTGTTACAAACAATAGCCCAGTTCACCAAATGAATTCTTTTCTTATTCTGACAGTCGCCCACAAAAAATTTCGGTTAAGCTTATCAATAACCTTACAAATATTGGTGGGTAGAAGCATGGTTTGCATGGAATAATTAGGAATGGTGGAAGTGACTGATTGAATTAGAGTAGCTCTCCCCGTAAATGAGAGCATACTTGCTTTCCATCCCAAAAGCCTACTATGAATCTTATCAATAATAAACTGGAAATGATTCCGATTACATCTGCTATGAAGTAATGGAATACCAAGATATCTGCCCAAATCATGTGTAAGAGCAATGCCACACAACCCACTAAAGTTCCTGGCTTTGGAAATAGACACATTAGGAGACACAAAGATTTTGGACTTCAGGAGATTTAGCTTAAGACCGAAAATAGCACTAAACTCAGTCAAAACATCCATGATAGTTTGAAAATTCCTTTCCACCGCCTTGCCAAAAAGGAGAAGATCATCAGCAAAAAAGAGGTGAGAAAAAGCAGGGCCTTGTACAGAAGCCCTCACCCCTTTCCAGCTTTTATCATTAACTTTAGCTAATATCATATTAGACAGTCTCTCCATGCAAAGCACAAACAGGTAAGGAGATAACGGATCCCCCTGCCTTAGTCCTTTCTTCATAGGAAAGTCCTGCAACTTTTCCCCATTCCAGAGAATAGATGCATTAACATTGGTAACACAGTTTTCATAATTAACTCAACCCAATGGTCATTCAAGTTATAATCCAAAAGAGTATGGTGGAGAAACTCCCATGACACATTGTCATAAGCCTTCTCGAGATCAATTTTCAGAATCATGTCCCCATTACGCCATTTTCTGTTCTTAAGAGTATGAACAAGCTCTTGATGATATGTTTCAATAACATGTCAATAGTTTTTTTTATTTATAAATATTTGATAGAATAATAATATTACCCATCCAAAGAAAATGTTTCAAAAAATATTTTGAAAATGAAATGTACGATTTTTATGTATTTGCCCCGGACAAAATTTAAATACGCACAATTTTTCTAAGTACTAATAAAAGCCTAGCTTTTTTATTAATGGAATAGTAACAATTATTCCAACATAGAACAAATTATTGAAAATTAATAGACATTTGAGATTGCATTATTTAGCCATTTTGATGATCGAAGCAAATTGGATTTGCATTAGGGACAAGCATTTAAGGATCCAATGCTAAGCTTGAGCCTTCTTCTGCATATCAAGCACCTTAGACCAAGCAGGTCGGGCAAGGATATCGGAGCACCATGAGCTGACCCGAGGGCGTGACTCGATTAGCTTCTTAGCCGGCGTCCCCGCAAGGCTTTGCAAGTTTGGTATGTGAAGTAGGTCCACAATTGTGTATTTCTCAGAAGCCAAGTACTTGGACTTCTCAAGCCGAGCCTCGTACACGTCGAGAACTTTTGCCAACTCGGCTTCGGCTTCAGCCACAATGCCTTCATCCGGTGTGAAACCCTTCTTGGGCTTGATGAGTAGCTCCGAAATCAGCTTCAGTGCGGGTGGCTCGAAGTGGTGGTCCTCCACATCGATCCAGTTAGCCACCACGGCTTGCTTCTTGGCGTCCCAGTATATTAGCTCTTCACCTTTCTTGCCATATTCATGAGCCATGCATCTTATTATTGCCCTTGATTCTGAATCAAAGTAACCATTTTAGTTGTAATATGGCTTCGTTGGTTTGGGAAGTCCAACTTGGGACTTTTTGGACTATTTTAGTCACAAAAAATAAAATAGACTTTTTAGTTTAACAAGACAAAATATCACATTCAATTCATAATCATTATATTTTTTCTCTCACAAAAAAATCAAAAAAGTCGAAAGTCTTTCCCAAACCAGACTTTTTAGCCCCAGTCTAAAATAGCCAAAAAAGTTAAAAAATCAAAAAGCCAACCCACTTCCCACACCAACCCTATATATAATTATGAATATACACTTCTTTTACAGATTACAAAATCGGATCACAAAACTGATATAACTTTTTATGTGAGTGGAAATTACATATTTTGTGTAAGAAGATTGTACTTTATTATGTGATTGAACTTTTAAAATTGTTTGAATAATATTTGATATCTCCCCAAATTATGACCTTTGATTTAATAAAGGAAAAAAAAATCTACCTTGTTATGGTTTGGAAACAGCTAGCTTTGTTATCTATGTCATGAAAAATTATTTAGTACTATTGAAATATGTGATTTTTTAATTTAACAATTGTTGGTCTAGATAATATAGGATTTATCACTTTTATATTGTTTTTTCAGAGACAACATGAGATGTAACCAACATAGTAGGTGTTTGGTCTTAGTTGATTTTTTAACAAATCAACAATTATCATGTAACTGTTCACATTATTAAAAATAAATTTAGGAACTATATAGCTTAGGAGTATCAAACATATTTTTCATAAAATGTAGGGTCCATTAAACAATGCATTGATGATAATAAAGAAATGCATTAACGACGCATAAGGATAGGAAGCAAAAAAACTCAAACAATAAAAAGTGTAAGAAAAAAACAGTAGAAGGCGTAAATTCTTGTATAGAGTGGGCTCTATTAAACCAATTTATTTTTATTTTTTGCTGTGATAATGATCTCTAACATCACACTAACATTACTTTAAAAAAATAAAAAATAAAAAAATTACCGAATTGCTTGATGCCTCCGTCCTCGTACACCGGCACTTGTCCAAACGGCTGCAAAAACATGTGCAAATGTATAGCTAGCTTACTTAACTTCAAATTTAAAGTACGTATATTTACACTAAGCTTAATATTAAACCTCGCAAATTAGAGAAATTATAATGTTTCTTCATAAATCAAATCATATCATTGAATTACCACTCGGATCATCGAAGAATATCAGAATAATAAGAACACAGAAGACTCTCATGAGGTCAATCATTTTTTTTTTTTAAATGACTTACATTCATAGAGAGGAAGTGTTTGTTTTTGTGCTCTCCATTATCCAAATCGACGGGAACAAACTCAAAGTCGAGGTCGTGCTCAAACAGGTTCGCCAACACCTTCAATGTCGCCGGCGACTTCAAGCTTCCATACACTCTTCGCCCTGCCATTGCCCCACCTACCCCTCTCTCTCTCTCTCTCTCTCTTATATACATATACTTCACGCCTCCGGGCTCTATTTGAGATTTGTGTGATTTACATGGAATGGTGCTTTGCGTTAATTTCAAAATTAGTTGAAATATGTATAAATTGACCCAAACCCAGTCATAAAATAAATGAAAAAAATGGTCTAGCTTGCCTCATGTTTGAGATCAAGTCTGGACCGTCCAGTCTAGCTCATGAGTCCATTTTTTTGTCCTGTTTTAATAATTTAAATCGTTCAATATGTAGAACTCATCGAATATTATATTCCATCTAAAACATCACATTGATCGGATATCGATAGCTATTTGATCGGATCAGATTTTTATCAATCGTTTATTTTTTTCACCGTCCATTTTTTTATACAAATCTGATCCGATCAAATAACTTTAGATATCGATCAAAGTGATATTTTATAAGAATATAATACTCAACGAGTTTTACATATTAATCGATTTTGATTATCAAAACGGGACCCAAAAATAGGCCTATGGACCAAACCGACCGATTCAGTTTTGATCTCAAACATGAAACAAGCTGAATACTTAGGCCTGGTTTGGCATCTTAAAAAAAATTACTAAAAAAGTTAAAAAATTATCACTATTCACAAATTAAAAATATAAAAACATTAATTTACGCAATATTTTTAATACAAACCAACCAGTTGACGTGACTGGTACTCAACTGATGGAAGTGCACTTATTGGGGTGTCAAAGGAAAAAAAAGAAAATTAGGTATATATATTCATTAAATTGGAGGGTAATGTTGCCAGACTCTACGGTCTACATCACTAACTTCTCCTATACACTTATTTATACAATTTTTAATATACATTTTTTTTTTGTAAAAAGTCAAAAAATTAATCCAAAGATCTATATTTTTTTCCTCAACTTTTTAATAAAAAAAGATAAAAAGTACACTTATTTAAGGCACCCCAGACAACCCCTTATATTCATGTGTAGATTTTGCATGTAAAAGATATTATGATGATCATTTTGTTGTTATATTTTATTTATGGCTTAATGTGTTATCACTGTATTAATATAAATGATTGAAATTTTTTAATTAAAATAAAATATGATCTTAGTATAAAATTAATTCAGATATTATATTATAATATTAAGTATTTTTATCTGAATTTATTATGATCAAATATGACCGTTTGAGAGGGTAATTTGTAAACAAATTGGGCTGAGTTAGGAAAAGTCTTCTTTGAAAGTTGGGCCTCGCAATGGGCTGAGATAAGGGCTGGTATAGTTTGGTCTTAGGCCAAGAAGACATCTCATATTTCGGATTTAGGCCGAACTATGGGCCGAGGTGTTTGGGCTTCGCAAGCTGGACCTCGTCCTTGTTAGTTCGGTCGGAGACTGCTGCAGTTACCTCGGTCTAAACAAACAAAACCGAGGTAACATCAATAGCGAGAGCCGAGCTGTGTATAGCTCGGTAGGGTGGCATTCGATAGATCGGCTTTCGATCACACGGTCCGAATGGCAGGGGATCGAGATAAGGCAGTTTGGTCAGAAATGTATAACCGAGGTAAAGGGTTAGAGTTCTACTGAGATTGTGTAAACCATCTCACTTGGTTGGTAGTGAATAGGAGTGTGACTCGTAGGAGGACTCCGTTAAGGAGAGTAGAGTCCTACTAGGATTATGCAAAACCATCTCACTTGGTTGGTAGTGAGTAGTGTGTGATTCCTAAGAGGACTCTCATAGGGAGAGTTGGAATCCTACTAGGATTGTGCCAAGCAGAGTCTATAAAAGCTCATGACCAGACCTATGAACAGGTATCTCAATTCTTACTCTAGAATACACAGAGCTATTGTCTATTGTCTAATTGCTGACTTAGGCATCGGAGGGGTTTCCGGCACACACCCGCCGGTTAGCTCACGTTTGTGTTTTCAGGTGGCAAAACAACATTATTTAGAGTAGTACAAACTTGATCAACAGGATCATACGAGAAGAATTATTTCTTACTCGTACAATATATATATGCCTATGAAAAATGTTTGAGAGCTCTAAATTGAGAGCACTAAAGGAGCTCTAGAGAGTGGGTCCCACTGACTGATGTGATGTTTTGGCCTTAAGTTTTTTTTTTTTTTTCTTCCAACGAGTTATACTTGAGAAAATGAAATGATGTTGCAATAGAAATTCAAAGTGGGCTTCTTCCCCATATATTATTATTATTGTATTTTACAGGAATTTTTTTTTGATTGGCAAAATAAAATTTTATTACTTGGTTTTTGCCTCTTTTTTTTTTGGTGATGATTATTTTTTTTTTTTGACACATATCAGATGATAAATAATTTTTATTTTATTATTTTAATAATCATAACACTATTTCAATTTATTTATAAGAAAAAACTTGGAAGTTGGCAATTGCCTCCAGATAAGAAATAATCTTCTTTTTGGTTGATTTTTTTGACATTTTCATTTCGATTTATTTTTATTGTTAGTGAATTTTTTCAAAATTATGTTAAATCTCTTTATTTTTTAGATCCATCTTAACTAGATGATTTTAAAAATTTATTGAGAAAAAAATTCAAAAAATACAAAAATAAGCTAGTTTTTATATATAGAAATTTTGAATTATTTTTGGCTTTATTGATTTTTTAAAAAAATTGACTCAATTTTTAAGTTCTTTTATAATCATCTAATTGAGATGAACCTAAAATGTCAACAAATTTAACTAAAAAAAGAATCAAAAATGACAAAAATAAGTTGATTTTTAAGTTTTAGACCAAGGAAATGAAGTCATCTTTCAAGCTTTGATTCTCTACTCCATGATCTTAAAAAATATATATATATATAAAGAGTACGGTGACAAAACAGGGACAATAAAAGAACTCTGATACTTTGATTGAGTTGTTTTAAATATGCCAATAAAATTACTCTTTATTCTTTATTGTAAACAAAAGTCTGTTTGAGGGCTCAAATCTTGTTCTGGTTCTTGAAATTTCTCATTATTAGCGTCTAAAATAAAATAGTTTGAGTTAAAAAAAATAAAAATAGAGTAGTGTTAAATCCTGACTGATAGACTAGATGTCTCAAAATGATATATATATATATATATAGGGAAAATTTTAAAATATATTACAAATTTATGAGAAAGTTTATGTTTTTAATTATTAATATTTATAAAGTTTATCACTTATTTGTAATTATTTTTTAAAGGTATCCCTGAAATGAAATTTCCCCTGTGTATATATCATATGGGAAATATACAATTTGTTCGACCATTTTGACATAATTATATTGATTTTTCATTTAGTATAGTTAAAACAACTGAAACTAATATAGATGACAAATAGACATTGAAATATATATATATATATATATACATTTTAGTTGAAAATATATCACAGTATCATTTTTTTTTATATATAACTAACAAATTACTAATGAAAAAAATTTAATTGTTATGTGAATTATAACTTTAAAAGATGCTAGTGTAATTATATCAAAAATGTAAAATTAATTAAAATGTGAAATTCATGCCGTTAAATTACATGTCTTCTTATAATAAAAAATACATAACAACAGCATTGCATAAAAATTATAATAGAAAATTTTATTTGTACATAAAAGAGACAAAAAGATAAATATTTTGTACTCCAATATATGATATAAAATTATGACACCCTCTTTCTCGGTGGAGGATTGACCACACCATTTTTATTTTTATTTATAACATGATTTTTAATCATTTATTTGAATTTTCTAAGACAATTTGTCATGAGAGAAGTTTAACTAATTCCATATTCGCAATGGCTCATGAGTAGAGCTTCTAATTATTAGCTCCAAATTCATTATCTTGGGTTAATTATCCTTAAAAAAAATTAACTTTTTAAGGTTATAATTTGGTGGATTAGCCAATTTGTCTTCATTCTCATGCTTTTAAAATTTTCTAATAATGATGAGCTTGTAAAATATTTGGATCGTCAGAACGAATCATCCACTGGGCCCCAAATTAAAACGGCATATCGTTAGGTGCCATTGGCAGTGGGCCCGAGTATTAAGTGCATTATTGTCTGGCCTCTGTTGTGGCCCAATAAATTGAGTCCACGTGGAAAACCTGATGCTTTTTGAATATAATAATAACAACGTTAGAAAAACACACACAGATCAAATATGAAAGAGAAATGTTGTGTATCTCAAACTAAATATTTTATTAAATTTTTTATATGGGGTGTGACTTACACAAATTTACATGTGTGTGAGTTTTATACCTATGTAATAAATTTTGTAAAATATTTAATAGAATATTTAGAGTCTCTAACATAACTCATACGAAATGAGAGCCAGATGTCTTATAAATAGTGAGTTGTGTGTCTCATTTTATATTTAATTTTTGTACATATAAACTTATTGATATGATAAATCATTTAGAGAAAATTACAAATAAGTGGGACACTTTTAAAATAATTGCTTTCTATGTAATTTTTTTTTTTAATATAAGTTTGACATGTACGATAATTTTGTATCAAACATATACCATATATATAAGAGATTTGCATCACTACGAAAATGAAATTATTTTTTTACTGTTAATTGAAATACAATTTTCCCAATTATTACATATAGGCTCAATTTGTTTTCAAAGGTAGAATGGAAGAGATTGATAGTGAGGGGATTAAGTTAAATTATGTTTGTTTTGATGGTAGTTGTTAATGTAGAGATTGTTAAATTATTACTCTATAAAAGAAATATAAAATATATAAACAAATAAAATTATGATTTTTACTTAACAAAAAATACAAAAACATTAAATATTAATGTTAAAAAAAATGCCCAACATGTAAATAAAAAAATAAAAAATAATATTCCCATGGGACTAATTTCCTAATATCATTTCCACCTGCTCTATCTCAATCCCAACACCAAGGCCCATCCTAATCCTATGGGATTATGAATCCCCTCTCCATCTCCCAAAACAAACACAACAAATAGTGAGTCCCACCTCCATCTCAATCCCAATCCTATCTCTATTTCTCAAAACAAATAGGGCCATAAATGTTTGACATTCGTAACATTCCTAAATAACTCCTATAATATGATTTGATCTATAATAATGTGGTGCAATGAGTCTTAACTTTCAACTGACTTGTCATATATGGTAGATTAATTTGTGAATATAAAATTATGAGTGTTTATCATTTATGTTTTCTTATACAATCAAGGGTTGAAGATGAAATTTTTACCAAATCATAAACTCAAATGGCTTCTACAAAAGTTTGGTAGATTAATTTGTGAATATAAAATTATGAGTGTTTATCATTTATTTTTTCTCATAAAATCAAGGGTTGATGAAATTTTTACCAAATCATAAACTAAAATGGCTTCTACAAAAGCTTGAAGAGATATCAAAATACAATCACTTGAACAAATCTAGTTTATACAAAAAAATAAAATAATAATAAAAAATAAATAATTGAGATTATTTTTTTAGTAGGGGCTAGCATTTCTAGTGTCGTCAATGTCAGTCACATAAATATCTTCCCTAAAAACAAAGGTTAAATTGCGTGCATCTTACTTTATAATAAAATCACCAATTTTTTCTTTTCCCTATGTGCATATTATTCTGTTGTTTTTCAGGCTCAACTTCACTTTCCAAAATTATGAATTTTCAATTTTGCAGACTACTCTTATTTGTATCAGATGAAATCTTGAAAAAATTCTGATGACATTTTTTTGCACAAATTCAAAACCAAAAAAAAAAAAACCTCTAAAGAACACAATGAAACTGTACCCCTACTACTGTTTCATTGTTTTATTTCAATGCAGACCATGCATGAAAAACCTTCACTTCCACGTACTACCACCATCATTTCATTTATCCCCAAAACTCATCGCCGGTGAAATTTTCTTAAAAACCGGCCTCGACGAAATGTCCTCCCACCACGACTTGACACATGGCCGTTCATTGAACGCCGACGCATAAGGAGTCTTGAAAAGGTAATGAGTGCAACTGAGGTGGTGGAGATCTGCCAAGCTGTAGGAATCTCCGGCGAGGTACTTGGACTTTGCCAGCCTGGCCTCGTACACGTCGAGCACTTTCCCGAGCTTCTCCACGTTGGCGTCAACGACTGCCTGGTCGGTTTTCATGCCGTACATTGGGGCGAAGAAGCACTGGAAGATGATGGCGGAGATTGGAGGGTTGAATTGCTGGGATTCTACCTCTAACCATACTTTGACTTGTGCAGCTTCTTTGAGGTTTTTGTGTCTTATGAGATCATAGCTTGTGTCTTTGTATTTCTCTGCTATGTATGCTGTGATTGCTCTTGATTCTAGTAATAATAGATAAATGACGAGCAATCAAGATAGTCGTCGTGATTGAGATTTTTTCCATTAAACATGATTGTAATAAAATATTTTGATTACATCATCCAGTGGTGATAAGATTTTGATATGAACTTATTTATAATTATATGAACAAATTTATGACGATATAATGAAAAATTAAGTGAGAGAGCTTACCAAAAAGAGTGAGATCTCCATCTTCTAGCGCTGGAATTTGGCCAAAGGGCTACACACACATGACAAAAATCAAGAGACTAAATCCAAGTGTGAATTGAATTATTCAAAAACTCATATAAACGATAGTGAGTTATTTAAAAAAAAAAAAAATAACAACAACAACAACAACCACAACCACAACAATAATGTAGAATGTCATATATGTATGGATCTCTCTCTTGCCAAGAAATTCATTTCATTCTAGTTGGGTCTCAATTTGATGGTTTGAGTTATTTATCTCATAGACTTCTGTGAAGAGAATGTAAAGAAATTAAAAAAACTTAAAAATAAAATAAAATGGATCTAATAAACTTTAATCACATAATTTTATTAATTTCTCTTCAAAAAAAAAAGAAAAGAGAGAGACTATTTTCAAAACAATATTCGTCCTAAATTCTTTTTATAAAAAAAATTGTTGAAATCATATAATTATAATTAATAGATTAATTATTATTTTTTAAATAATAAATGATCTATAGACGAAAGTTTACAAAAATGAATAGTTGAAATGAAATGAATAGTTGAGATATAAAATAAGACACACAATCAAACTTACAAGTTTAGACCAAAATTTGAATACTTAAAATATGGAGGCTTGAATTAGACTCACATTCTTGTTAAGGAATGCAGGTTGCTTGTGTTCACCAGCACCCATGTTAACTGGGATGAGCTCAAAATCTACGCCCTTTTCATAGAGGCATGCCATCACCCTTGCAGTGCATGTCGACGCTGGTATTCCATATAACATCATCCCCATTTTCACGCACAAATCAAAAGAGTGATTGAGAAGTTGTTTGATCACTTGATGAATGTTTTGATAAGGAGGAAGATGAGTTGCAAATATAGAGAGATTCTGTGGTATATAAATTTCAGTTTTTTTGTTTCCCGGTTATCTTGCCATCTGTCTGGAATTAATACTCTCTCTCTCTCTCCCCATTGAAACGGACAACTCTAAATCTGCACTTTAAATATAGTAAAATCTTGAACGTATAGCTTTTATATTGCATTAATTAAAAAAGTGGAATAAAATGGTATAACACATCTAAAGTTACAAATATCATTGTTCTTTTATAGATTATAATACTACAGTCCACAAATTGTAGTTTCAATCTTTTTTATTTTTTATTTTTATTATTTTACAATTTGGTATGTTATCATCAATTGACTATACTTTCGATAACACATCCAATATTATCAAAATAAAAAATTCCTGGTCCATAATTTCCTTCCACATTTCAAAATTTGTTATATTCTACTTTCACATTAGAAATTGTAGGGCTTTTTTGTATTTTAGTTTTACGTCAACTTATTCGCTTACACAGTCTCAAAATTAATATGCTCCCTAAATTGCCCAAACAAGTACATCTTTATTAAAGTAGTATTGCACCATCTGCATTTAATGGCACAATAAAATGATAAACTAAGAAAATTTGATATCCCAAAAAACCAAAAAACAAACCCCAAATTTAGAATGATTGAAGACCTAATCAACATACTTTGAATCCCTCATCGACCACAACACAAGCTTCAACTCTTGAATAAAAAACGTAACAATTTGTTGTGTGTAAGCAGGCAAAAGTACCAGTTACCCTTTGGACATGGCAAATTTGTTTACATTCTTGTTTTATGAGAACTGAGAACAGAAGGGTTCAATTTCTTCACAAGATCATGCAACATAGAAAGCTTGACATAAATATAATTACGAGATATATCATTTGGGAAATATACAATTTGTTCAACCATTTTGACATAATTATATTGATTTTTCATTTAGTATAGTTAAAACAACTGAAACTAATATAGATGACAAATAGACATTGAAATAAATAAATATATATATATACATTTTAGTTGAAAATATATCACAGTATCATTTTTTTTTATATATAACTAACAAATTACTAATGAAAAAAATTTAATTGTTATGTGAATTATAACTTTAAAAGATACTTAGTGTAATTATATCAAAAATGTAAAATTAATTAAAATGTGAAATTCATGTGGTTTTTTTTTTTGTTTTGTTTTTTGAACGGAATGTGAAATTAATGTTTGATTTGAAGAGTTGGTAGGTTGATGTTGAATACACATGTGAGAATGGCAGATAAACTTGTCAAAATAAGTAGCCAAAGGCCGTCCAAAAGAAGATGTGGGCCCAACCTATAATTCAACGGGCCCAAAAATAACAACAAAATATTTTGAAATGGATACCTTTGCAATAATTTTAAAAGTAAAATAAAATAACATCATTTTTAAATGATGGTTTGAAAAAATACACGGTATTTTGGTGTTATTTTATATCAGTTTGAAATTTATGCCGTTAAATTACATGTCTTCTTATAATAAAAAATATATAACAACAGCATTGTATAAAAATTACAATAGAAAATTTTTATTTGTACATAAAAGAGACAAAAAGATAAATATTTTGTACTCCAATATATGATATAAAATTATGACACCCTCTTTCTCGGTGGAGGATTGACCACACCATTTTTATTTTTATTCTTATTTATAACATGATTTTTAATCATTTATTTGAATTTTCTAAGACAATTTGTCATGAGAGAAGTTTAACTAATTCCATATTCGCAATGGCTCATGAGTAGAGCTTCTAATTATTAGCTCCAAATTCATTATCTTGGGTTAATTATCCTTAAAAAAAAATTAACTTTTTAAGATTATAATTTGGTGGATTAGCTAATTTGTCTTCATTCTTATGCTTTTAAAATTTTTTAATAATGATGAGCTTGTAAAATATTTGGATCGTCAGAACGAATCATCCACTGGGCCCCAAATTAAAACGGCATATCGTTAGGTGCCATTGGCAGTGGGCCCAAGTAATAAGTGCATTATTGTCTGGCCTCCGTCGTGGCCCAATAAATTGAGTCCACGTGGGAAACCTGCTGTTTTTTTGAATATAATAATAACAATGCTAGAACCACACGCACAGATCAAATATGAAAGAGAAAGTGCTATGTATCTCAAATACTCTATTAAATATTTTATTAAATTTTTTATATGGGTTGAGATTTATATAAATCTATATGTGTGTGAGTTTTACATCTATGTGAGAGATTTTGTAAAATATTTAGTAGAATATTTAGAGTCTCTAGCATAACTCAATACGAAATGAGAGCCAGATGTCTTATAAATAGTGAGTTGTGTGTCTCATTTTATATTTAATTTTTGTACATATAAACTTATTGATATGATAAATCATTTAGAGAAAATTACAAATAAGTGGGACACTTTTAAAATAATTGCTTTCTATGTAATTTTTTTTTTAATATAAGTTTGACACGTACGATAATTTTGTATCAAACATATACCATATATATAAGAGATTTGCATCACTATGAAAATGAAATTATTTTTTTACTGTTTATTGAAATATAATTTTCCCAATTATTATATATAGGCTTCACTTGTTTTCAGAGGTAGAATGGAGGAGATTGATAGTGAGGGGATTAAATAAAATTATGTTTGTTTTGATGGTAGTTGTTAATGTAGAGATTGTTAAATTATTACCCTATAAAAGAAATATAAAATATTTAAACAAATAAAATTATGATTTTTATTTAACAAAAAATACAAAAACATTAAACATTAATGTTAAAAAAAAATGCCCAACATGTAAATAAAAAAATAAAAAATAATATTCCCATGGGACTAATTTCCTCATATCATCTCCACCTCCTCCATCTCAATCCCAACACCGAGGCCCATCCTAATCCTATGAAATTATGAACCTCCTCTCCATCTCTCAAAACAAACACAACAAATAGTGACTCCCACCTCCATCTCAATCTCAATCCCAATCCTATCTCTATTTCTCAAAACAAATAGGGCCATAAATGTTTGACATTCGTCACATTCCTAAATAACTCTCATAATATGATTTGATCTATAATAATGTGGTACAATGAGTCTTAACTTTCAACTCACTTGTCATATATCGTAGATTAATTTGTGAATATAAAATTATGAGTGTTTATCATTTATTTTTTCTTGTAAAATCAAGGGTTGATGAAATTTTTACCAAATCATAAACTAAAATGGCTTCTACAAAAGTTTGAAGAGATATCAAAATACAATCACTTGAACAAATCTAGTTTATACAAAAAAATAAAATAATAATAAAAAATAAATAATTGAGATTATTTTTTTAGTAGGGGCTAGCATTTCTAGTGTCGTCAATGTCAGTCACATAAATATCTTCCCTAAAAACAAAGGTTAAATTGCGTGCATCTTACTTTATAATAAAATCACCAATTTTTTCTTTTCCCTATGTGCATATTATTCTGTTGTTTTTCAGGCTCAACTTCACTTTCCAAAATTATGAATTTTCAATTTTGCAGACTACTCTTATTTGTATCAGATGAAATCTTGAAAAAATTCTGATGACATTTTTTTGCACAAATTCAAAACCAAAAAAAAAAAAACCTCTAAAGAACACAATGAAACTGTACCCCTACTACTGTTTCATTGTTTTATTTCAATGCAGACCATGCATGAAAAACCTTCACTTCCACGTACTACCACCATCATTTCATTTATCCCCAAAACTCATCGCCGGTGAAATTTTCTTAAAAACCGGCCTCGACGAAATGTCCTCCCACCACGACTTGACACGTGGCCGTTCGTTGAACACCGACGCATAAGGAGTCTTGAAAAGGTAATGAGTGAAACCGAGGTGGTGGAGATCTGCCAAGCTGTAGAAATCTCCGGCGAGGTACTTGGACTTTGCCAGCCTGGCCTCGTACACGTCGAGCACTTTCCCGAGCTTCTCCACGTTGGCGTCAACAACTGCCTGGTCGGTTTTCATGCCGTACATTGGGGCGAAGAAGCACTGGAAGATGATGGCGGAGATTGGAGGGTTGAATTGCTGGGATTCTACCTCTAACCATACTTTGACTTGTGCAGCTTCTTTGAGGTTTTTGTGTCTTATGAGATCATAGCTTGTGTCTTTGTATTTCTCTGCTATGTATGCTGTGATTGCTCTTGATTCTAGTAATAATAGATAAATGATGAGTAATCAAGATAGTCGTCGTGATTAAGATTTTTTCCATTATATGATTGTAATAAAATATTTTGATTACATCATCCAGTGGTTATAAGATTTTGATATGAACTTATTTATAATTATAGGAACAAATTTATGACGATATAATGAAAAATTAAGTGAGAGCGTACCAAAAAGAGTGAGATCTCCATCTTCTAGTGCTGGAATTTGGCCAAAGGGCTACACACACGTAACAAAAATCAAGAGACTAAATCCAAGTGTGAATTGAATTATTCAAAAATTCATATAAACGATATTGAGTTATTTAAAAAAGAAAAAAGAAAAAAAAAGAACATCAACAACAACAACAACCACAACAATAATGTAGAATGTCATATATGTATGGATCTCTCTTGCCAAGAAATTCATTTCATTCTAGTTGGGTCTCAATTTGATGGTTTGAGTTATTTATCTCATAGACATCTGTGAAGAACATGTAAAGAAATTAAAAAAACTTAAAAAGAAAATAAAATGGATCTAATAAACTTTAATCACATAATTTTATTAATTTGTCTTCAAAAAAAAAAGAGAGAGACTATTTTCAAAACAATATTTGTCCTAAATTTTTTTTATAAAAAAAATTGATGAAATCATATAATTATAATTAATAGATTAATTATTATTTTTTAAATAATAAATGATCTATAGACGAAAGTTTACAAAAATGAATAGTTGAGATGAAATGAATAGTTGAGATATAAAATAAGACACACAATCAGACTTACAAGTTTAGACAAAAATTTGAATACTTGAAATATGGAGGCTTGAATTAGACTCACATTCTTGTTAAGGAATGCAGGTTGCTTGTGTTCACCGGCACCCATGTTAATTGGGATGAGCTTGAAATCTACGCCCTTTTCATAGAGGAATGCAATCACCCTTGCAGTGTATGTCGACGCTGGTATTCCATATAACTTCATCCCCATTTTCACGCACAAATCGAAAGAGTGATTGAGAAGTTGTTTGATCACTTGATGAATGTTTCGATCAGGAAGAAGATGAGTTGCAAATATAGAGAGATTCTGTGGTATATAAATTTCAGTTTTCTTGTTTCCCGGTTATCTTGCCATCTGTCTGGAATTAATACTCTCTCTCTCTCCCCATTGAAACGGACAACTCTAAATCTGCACTTTAAATATAGTAAAATCTTGAACGTATAGCTTTTATATTGCATTAAATAAGAAAGTGGAATAAAATGGTATAACACATCTAAAGTTACAAATATCATTTTTCTTTTATAGATTATAATACTATAGTCCACAAATTGTAGTTTCAATCTTTTTTTTATTTTTTATTTTTTTATTTTACAATTTGGTATGTTATCATCAATTGACTATACTTTTGATAACACATCCAATATTATCAAAATAAAAAATTCCTGGTCCATAATTTACTTCCACATTTAAAAATTTGTTATATTCTACTTTCACATTAGAAATTGTAGGGCTTTCATGTATTTTTGTTTTACGTCAACTTATTTGCTTACACAGTCTAAAATTAATATGCTCCCAAAATTGCCCAAACAAGTACATCTTTATTAAAGTAGTATTGCACCATCAGCATTTGATGGCACAATAAAATGATAAACTAAGAAAATTTGATATCCCAAAAAACCAAAAATCAAACCCCAAATTTAGAATGATTGAAGACCTAATCAACATACTTTGAATCCCTCATCGACCACAACACAAGCTTCAACTCTTGAATAAAAAACGTAACAATTTGTTGTGTGTAAGCAGGCAAAAGTACCAGTTACCCTTTGGACATGGCAAATTTGTTTACATTCTTATTTTATGAGAACAAAGAACAGAAGGGTTCAATTTCTTCACAAGATCATGCAGCATAGAAAGCTTGACATAAATATAATTACGAGATACTTGAATATTTACAGATGTGAATATGTTTTGTTACACTTTTTGGTGGTTAAAACAGTTGCAAATTGTCAAATGTGAGTAACAAATAATCATATTTACAACATAATATTCTCCTCCTATTTGGAAGAGAACCAAATGATACACACAAATGGGAACAGTATTGTATACAACAATGAAGAAGTTAGGGTATTCAAACCCTCTCCTAAAAAGCTTCTTCAGGCTTTAGGAAGTTGTGATATTCCAACTGAGTCATCTCTCCACCACTCACTGGATCAAACTGGCAACGATAGAAGCTGAATAAATGCAAATCAGTTATTTTACTTGAGAGAGAGAGAGAGAGAGAGAGAGATTGTGATTACAAAAATTGTGGAAGGTATGAAAATATCTCTCTCAAGAAGGAAGATTCAAAACGTACCCTTTCTTGTTTGCACTATATCATATCATATTACATTTATCGATAACTAATACCTATCCTGAAGCAGGTGTAAACATTTTCTGTATGTTTTTTAGGCAGCACTTAAATGAGAGGTTGGTTTGCAAAATCAAAACAAACTAGAAATAACAGGATACATTAAATTACTAAATCATTATGTATAAATTAAATCAATGATATCTTGTTAGTTGTACACACCTTCCATCTAAGCCAAGAATTACAACAGTATTCTTTTGGTGACCAAATGCAACAATGTATTGCGAACCTTCAAGCAAACGAAACTGAGCAACAGACCACTCTGAGCTGAAATACTTGGGCAATACTCCTGCAAAATGAGTAGCAACTTAGATCCTAAAATCAATGAAACAAAATTTATCTTTAAATGTTACCCTCCAGCATCCAGTAATATTTAATCAAACCATAGAAAACAGAAAACACAGTAATACCAAAAGCATTTTAAATAACATAGCGGATTAAAAATCATACCGAGAACAAAAGAAAAGAATTGTAATCTCTATTCACAAAATACACCATTTGTCAAATATCCATAACATCTGCATGGTAATCAGAGTATTTTGGAGCAAAAGAAATGGTTCCTGTGAAATCTACCAATTTATGTAGTCTTGAGTTCTTTGAGAATCAAGAAGTTGATGCATTGTCAATAATAAAGACAACATTGATCCTTTGAAGAGTCTAGAATTGTTCATACATATATATTTGTGTACTGAGAAAGGAACCATTATGAGGAACTAGTCACTTGGTTTATTCCTAGTCCACCAATGAGTTTTACCCCCAAAGGACTTTCTGAAGCTTCATTGAACTCATTAAAGGGTAAAGCTATAAATTTTGTCCAGCATGTTTCAGAAATTAAAGGACAAGGTAACCATGGAAATTGAAGTTATGTAATGGACTACACAAAACCTTCATATCATCTTTTGGCATAGTTTCAGGACTTTTCCTTCGGAAAAATAAAATAAAATCCGCCTTCTCTGAAAAGAAACAATTTCATTATGTTAATGGCATCTAAGCTGAAAAGTTTCCATCTCCAGGGCACTTGATGTGATCCTATTTTGTTGCTTGCTTGTCTAATGCACAAGATTGTTTTTAGAATTTCATTTAATGGTATTGATCCAAATTCTCTCCATTTTAGTGACAGCAGTTTGTGCAAATTGCAAACATAAACTGCATTCAAATGCCCATGCGCCCCTTAGTTATTTAAGGAAGAACATCAATGTGCCAGAAAAGAACTAATTTTTTTTTTTTAAAAAAAAAAGGCAAGTTTACAAGTGATTTGAGGAAGGCATCTTATTACCTTTTATAAAAGAGAGTGATGAAGTGGGTGATGAAACAGCATGATTGGGATCAGATTTCAAATTAATTAAATATACCTTAGCGTATAATTGAAATCCGTTGAAAAGTAAACACCCTTTATATAGAGAAATGAGTAATCAGCTTCCTGAGTAGGAAAGGATATCATCTGATAGAATTATATTAATTGCATGTAATCCATTGCCATAGGCTATGTTGTTTCTTCAGGCCGTCAGACATGTGTCATCCTTGCGCTTGGCGTTATGTTAACCCAGCCCAAGTTGTAAGATTTTAATATTATTCATAAAAGGGTGTTTACTTTTCAACGGATTTTTATTACACGCTACGGTATATTTAATTAATTTGAAATCCGCGAACATTGTTGCCTATAAAAATGGTAAGGGGGGAGCAGGCACTAGTATTACCCCGCTCCCTTTCCTACTTCCCTTCGCTTCCCTTGCTATATTTTATTATATTTATTAATAAAATGAGTATTCCATTAAAGCAAGGGAGGAGGTTCTGCTTTACCCTTTGGGAAGATTTTTGTTTTAAACAAAATATATTCAGTACGGAAGTGAAATATTGTGTTATTGGAGCAGAGAAGAGTCCATCTACCCTGAGAGACCATTATCAAGGGTTCATCTCCTTCACGAATGTGAAGAGACCTGGTGCTGTGAAAGATTTCCTTGGTTCTCAAACAGTGCATTTAACTAATGCCACTGGTTCAGATCTACAGAACAAGGTGTATTGTTCTAAAGAAGGTTATGTTATCTTTGAGCTTGGTGAGCCTGTAGCCCCTGGTCAGCATAAGAGGAAGAGGATCCAACTATGTGAAGAAGACCCTGAGAGTTCTAAGATTGAGGATCCGAACTTGTATAACAGATACATATGTTTACAGAAGAGAAAGGCCTTCATAGAAAATTATGCTGACGTGCACCCCCGTCATCCATGGTAGAATATTCTTATGGAATATATATCAGGATCTCCTGATCATAGATCTATCTACTGGATCTACGGTCCAGATGGTGGAGAAGGTAAAACAGAATTCTCTAAGCTATTGGAGGCAAAATATAATTATTTTGTTGTGAAGCCTACCAAGATTGAAAACATGATGTATTATTACGTAGATGACAATACTACGAAGCATGTTTGTGTTGATATTCCTAGAAGAGTTCAGCAGAGTCACTATGACGCCATATATGATTTCATAAAGAGTGTTAAGGACAGAATGATTCAGAGCACCAAATACAGACCTGTGAAGTATAGAGAATTAAATTTGGTGCATTGTATTGTAATGAGTAATCAGCTTCTTGATTACGAAAAGATATCATCTGATAGAATTATATTAATTGAATGCAATCCATTGTCATAGGCTACGTTGTTTCTTCAGGCCGTCAGACATGTGTCATCCTTGCGCTTGGCGTTATGTTAACCCAGCCCAAGTTGTAAGATTTTAATATTATTCATAAAAGGGTGTTTACTTTTCAACGGATTTTTATTACACGCTACGGTATATTTAATTAATTTGAAATCCGCGAACATTGTTGCCTATAAAAATGGTAAGGAGGGAGCGGGCCCTAGTATTACCCCGCTCCCTTTCCTACTTCCCTTCCCTTCCCTTGCTATATTTTATTATAAAATGAGTATTCCATTAAATATGATTGTAATAAAATATTTTGATTACATCATCCAGTGGTTATAAGATTTTGATATGAACTTATTTATAATTATAGGAACAAATTTATGACGATATAATGAAAAATTAAGTGAGAGCTTACCAAAAAGAGTGAGATCTCCATCTTCTACCGCTGGAATTTGGCCAAAGGGTTACACACACGTGACAAAAATCAAGAGACTAAATCCAAGTGTGAATTGAATTATTCAAAAATTCATATAAACGATACTGAGTTATTTAAAAAAAAAAAAAAAAAAGAAAAAAGAAAAAAAAAGAACAACAACAACCACCACAACAACCACAACCACAAGAATAATGTAGAATGTCATATATGTATGGATCTCTCTTGCGAAGAAATTCATTTCATTCTAGTTGGGTCTCAATTTGATGGTTTGAGTTATTTATCTCATAGACTTCTGTGAAGAACATGTAAAGAAATTAAAAAAACTTAAAAATAAAATAAAATGGATCTAATAAACTTTAATCACATAATTTTATTAATTTGTCTTCAAAAAAAAAAAAAAAAGAGAGACTATTTTCAAAACAATATTTGTCCTAAATTTTTTTTATAAAAAAAATTTATGAAATCATATAATTATAATTAATAGATTAATTATTATTTTTTAAATAATAAATGATCTATAGACGAAAGTTTACAAAAATGAATAGTTGAGATGAAATGAATAGTTGAGATATAAAATAAGACAGACAATCAGACTTACAAGTTTAGACCAAAATTTGAATACTTAAAATATGGAGGCTTGAATTAGACTCACATTCTTGTTAAGGAATGCAGGTTGCTTGTGTTCACCGGCACCCATGTTAATTGGGATGAGCTTGAAATCTACGCCCTTTTCATAGAGGCATGCCATCACCCTTGTAGTGCATGTCGACGCTGGTATTCCATATAACTTCATCCCCATTTTCACGCACAAATCGAAAGAGTGATTGAGAAGTTGTTTGATCACTTGATGAATGTTTCGATCAGGAGGAAGATGAGTTGCAAATATAGAGAGATTCTGTGTATATAAATTTCAGTTTTCTTGCTTCCCGGTTATCTTGCCATCTGTCTGGAATTAATACTCTCTCTCTCTCCCCATTGAAATGGACAACTCTAAATCTGCACTTTAAATATAGTAAAATCTTGAACGTATAGCTTTTATATTGCATTAATTAAGAAAGTGGAAAAAAATGGTATAACACATCTAAAGTTACAAATATCATTTTTCTTTTATAGATTATAATACTACAATCCACAAATTGTAGTTTCAATCTTTTTTTATTTTTTATTTTTTTTATTTTACAATTTGTTATGTTATCATCAATTGACTATACTTTCGATAACACATCCAATATTATCAAAATAAAAAATTCCTGGTCCATAATTTACTTCCACATTTCAAAATTTGTTATATTCTACTTTCACATTAGAAATTGTAGGGCTTTTATGTATTTTAGTTTTACGTCAACTTATTTGCTTACACAGTCTCAAAATTAATATGCTCCCAAAATTGCCCAAACAAGTACATCTTTATTAAAGTAGTATTACACCATCAGCACTTAATGGCACAATAAAATGATAAACTAAGAAAATTTGATATCCCAAAAAACCAAAAAAGAAACCCCAAATTTAGAATGATTGAAGACCTAATCAACATACTTTGAATCCTTCATCGACCACCACACAAGCTTCAACTCTTGAATAAAAAACGTAACAATTTGTTGTGTGTAAGCAGGCAAAAGTACCAGTTACCCTTTGGACATGACAAATTTGTTTACATTCTTATTTTATGAGAACAGAGAACAGAAGGGTTCAAGTTCTTCACAAGATCATCCAACATAGAAAGCTTGACATAAATATAATTACGAGATACTTGAATATTTACAGATGTGAATATGCTTTGTTACACTTTTTGGTGGTTAAAACAGTTGCAAATTGTCAAATGTGAGTAACAAATAATCATTTTTACAATATAATATTCTCCTCCTATTTGGAAGAGAACCAAATGATACACACAAAAGGGAACAATATGGTATATAACAATGAAGAAGTTAGTGTAACAACCCTCACTTTGCTTTAGTCATGCTCCCATGCATTTATATAATTTTGCCTTGCCAAATTGCATTCACAAGATCTTATTTTGTTTTATCTAAGTGTTGTTGCATGCTTTGTTCCTTGTTTAGTGTGTGTTTAGCCGAGGTCATCTTAAGCCTAGGACCGACACTCTTTGGACACTTTCCCGACACGTGTCCGACACTCTTTAAAACGTGTCCTATTTTTTAAAGACCCGGACACTCTTTGGACACTTGGAGAATACATGTGTATCTCTTAAACACACGTGTCTATCAATTAGACACATGTGAAACCAATTATAAGTTTGAACAAAACAACTTAAGATACAATAATAAAACAAAAATCATATAAATTCATAAGAATTATTGTCATATTTAATATTTTTATTATCTTTGAATGATATATTCATATATATAACATATAATAAATATATAAAATTATATATTTCATGCGTGTCCCCCGCGTGTCGTGTCCTGCATTTTTTGAAAATTAGCGTGTCGGCGTGTCCGTGTCGTGTCACGTGTCCGTGTCCATGCTTCTTAGACCCTCACTTTGCTTTAGTCATGCTCCCATGCATTTATATAATTTTGCCTTGCCAAATTGCATTCACAAGATCTTGTTTTGTTTTATCTAAGTGTTGTTGCATGCTTTGTTCCTTGTTTAGTGTGTGTTTAGCCGAGGTCATCTTAAGCCTAGGTCGCACCTTTGAACCTCTTACACCTAGAACCATCTTGAAACCACTTTGGTTGACCTCCATCTTCGCCCTGGCATATTGGCCCAGATGTGTATCATCTAGGCCGAGACGTTATCCTTTAGGTATTAGAGATCTTTGATCCCTGCACCTGGTGATCTTGTTCCTGGACTGGTATGACCTAGACCTAGGTGTGGCACATCTAGGCCGAGGTATGGCACAGCTAGGCCAAGTGTTATCCTTCCTAGCCGAGATCATTGAGACTTTACTTGCCGAAGCCTTGTCCCAATCCGAGGTCATTACCCGTCGGAGTGCCCTTGTCACCTTGCTTGTCATACACACTTTGTCATAGCCTTGTCTTTTCACTCAGTCACCTTTTTGAGGAGAGCTAACCGGTCGTTGCCACGTGTCCCAGCAGAGGGTTAAGTCTGCTGGCAGTAGAGGAACCCACATCACTTTGTCATATCTTTTGCATGGTAGAGAGAGAAGCTCTAGGAAGAGAGGAAGAAGAGTTCTTGAGAGAGAAGTAGATTTCCAAGCTTGATCCTTAGAGTCTAAACCGTTTGATCCGAGTGTTGAGGTTAGATTTTTGATTTACTCTTGTTAATCTTTATGTTTATTCGATCGCATTACATGATCTAGCATGATTCATGAGCCATGTATTGGTTTAAAGTTGTTTTAGAAAGAGAAAATGGTGTTTTTGTGTTCTTGAAGAAAAACTATGTTTTGATCCGAAAGTTTGTATCAAAATCCATGTTTTTGTGTTTGTTTTCATAAAATCTTCAAGTATGGGTACCTAGGTCCATGTTTTCAAACTCATCTCATGAAATCTCAGATTTTGAATAAAGAAGTTATGATTTTAGCATTCATGTTCTTCATGTTCTTGTCCTTCATGTTCTTCATGTTCATCAAGGGAGAAACCCAAATTTCCAGACCTCATTTCTCTAGGTGTGGTCACTGAAACCACTCTTGCCTAGATCTCACACCTAGGCCAAGCATCGTATCTCACCTTGGCCTACCTTGCATGATCACTTGCACCGTTAGTTTATCTTGCATGAACACCTCGGCAGACAGCCGTTCGCCGAAGCCTTGGTAACCACACCTTGGCCAAGAGGTGTGGGACCTCGGCAAAGACCTGGTTGGTACCCAACAAGTTTTTCCCTAGATGAAAAACAATGTTTTAACTTCCAGCATGTTTTGCTTTGACTTGACCTAGTCTTGAAGAAAATGCCGGGATCATTTGCATTCATGAGAGGCTTGTCTTGAGAGTGCATTTCATATCCATCTTTGAGCATTCTTTCTTGTCTCCTTGAAGTGCATTCAGTAGACTTTGCCATGTGTTTGTAGGACTTGGACCTTTGCTTTAACCCTGACGTCTGAAGAGCTATGTGAGTAGTATTTTTAATAAAACTATGTTATAAAGTTTTGATAAAGCTTTGCTTTGTTTTAGAAGAGTGTTTGATCAAGCATGAATGATTATCCCTAGTTTTTATATCAAGTATTATATTTGTTTTGATGACATTCTGGGAAAGTCCTTAGTGCTATGGGACTATAATGCAACTGCACCCTTGTTTTGTCACTGACGGTTTTCCGCGTGGGTTTGTTTGTCCGGAATGTCATCCTTTGGTATTATGTAGATGTTATTAACATCCAATAAGCTTTGAAAGATTTGATAGATGAACTTGGTTCATCCCTTTGATTTGTGAAGTTATGATATGTATTGTTTTGGAAAAGACCTCGGATATCATTCATTCAAACCTTTATTACTTATACCATTCACTGAGTATCCAAGCTCACCCTTTCTTTATATATATGTAGGTGTTGAGCAGGAAGGCGGTGACGCCTAGGTGTATTTTGCAAGCTTGTTTTGGATTCATACTTTTGCTAGCATCTTGAAGACTATGCTTCTTGACTTGTAGTTTATTTCTTTTGTTTATGTCGGCTTGAAAAGTCTTTTGATCAAGATGTAATATGTACTTTATTTTATTTGTATTCAAGTTGTAAACCATGTTAATATGTATGTCATTTCATTTGATCTATGCATAGCCTATGTTACACGGACTCTTCAAAATAAATCAAATACCCGTGTCGGACCCGACACTCGGACAAGGGTATGGGATATGTGTCGGATACTTCTCAACAGATACTTCTTATATAATTGTATATAACACTATTATTATATGTACATATTGTTGTATAATTGTTATAAATGTTATTTTGACACTGTAAGTTACATATAGTACCATTTTATTGTTGGACAATCTTCATTGTATTTAAAAGATTTAATTCTATTGTGTACACAACAATAAATAGAATTTAAAGAAATAAAGAAAATGAGAGAATTTGTTTGATTACAAAAATCAAACTCAAAATAAAAAATAAATAAATAAAACCACAGATTTTATTTTGTTACAAAAACAAAATTAAAATCTGATTAAATAAACAAATAAAAACAGGTATGGGATATGTGTCGGATACTTCTCAACAGATACTTCTTATATAATTGTATATAACACTATTATTATATGTACATATTGTTGTATAATTGTTATAAATGTTATTTTGACACTGTAAGTTACATATAGTACCATTTTATCTCATATATTAGATTAAAAATATAAAAATATGATATTTTTTTGCCGAGTCCGCATACCCTTAAATTTATGATTTAATGAGTCCGACCTCTAGATACATACCCGTACCCGACACCCGTGTCCGAGTCCATGTAACATAGTGCATAGCTCTTATGGACTACTTAGATTTAAATTTATTGCTTTTGCACATGTAAGCCCCATATGTATACTCTGATTGTGTGTGAATCTTTGTAAGTTAGCCTTTGGTAATCTCGGATTACTGGCCATCACGGCACCATTCTACTAGGGGCGGAATGGGGTCGTGACAGATTGGTATCAAAGCACGAGTTTCTTATACTACGTTATTCACACACTTTTAGTCCTAAAGAGCTTAGGATTTCCCTTAGAATGATATTAGGATTGCATCATGTTGCTTGCTACTTGACAAGGTATGCATTATCTCAGCACGACCATTTGTTACTTGCATACATGTCTATTTGTTCATTTTGTTTTAAAGTCACATTTTGCATACTCCTAGCATCATGAGAAGGGGGAGATCTCCAGTTAGCCGAGATCAATCCGAGGACAGGTTGGACAGATTAGAAAGGATGGTAGAGGGTTTGGCCCATGAGTTGAGGCAAGCAAGGCAACAGAACACTAGCACTATATCTACTCAGGCCGAGCAAACAGATGGCCGACGTGCAGTTCCACCTCCACCTCCTCCAGTACCCTAAGTGCCTCCGCAGCCAGCTTTATATGGGGATGGCACGTTGACCTTGATCAAAGAATTCAAGAAGATGAATCCGCCAAAATTCCAAGGAGGTATAGAGTCGATGAAGGCAGAAGCATGGGTTCTTGAGATGGAGAAGTTGTTCAAGGTTTTTCCCAGCACTGACACTCAGAAGGTGTCATTAGCGGCATTCACATTGGATGACGACGCCCGTAGATGGTGGATGATGATCCGAGAAGGCAACCCAAGTTTAACTTGGGCCAGATTTTTGATGTGGTTCTACGACAAGCACTTTCCCCTCAGTGTCCGAGATCGCAAGACCACAGAATTCCAGATGTTGACGCAGGGTAACAAAATAATAGCTGAATATGATCGTGCTTTCACCGAGTTGGCAAGGTATGCACCCCATATGGTCAACAACGAATACAGGAAAGCTATGAAGTTTGAGAGTGGACTTCAGGGCCCAATACAAGATCGAGTTAATATGCTCAACATGCCAACGTATGCCGGAGTGTTAGATAAAGCCATCCTGGCAGAAGCTAACTTGAACAGAAGCCAGAGTTCAGGGGAGAATCAGAGAAAGAGGCAGGATTATGACAATCGCCAAGCACCGTCCGATGTCAACAAGAAGGTAAATGTGGGCAGTGCCAACAATGCGAATCAGGAAGGTAGCACCAGGCCAACATGTACAAGTTGCGGGAAGCAACATTTTGGGGTTTGTTATCGGGTATCTGGAGCATGTTTTGAATGCGGTGAGATGGGTCATCGTATTAAGGATTGTCCCAAGGTAAAGGCTAGAGACAATAAGAAGAAATGAGAACCCGACATCCGGAGTTGTTTTGGGGACAAAGTAAGTTAAGTTTGGGGACCAAACTTCTTTAAGGGGGGAAGGAGGTAACAACCCTCACTTTGCTTCAGTCATGCTCACATGTATTTATATAATTTTGCCTTACCAAATTGCATTCATAAGATCATGTTTTGTTTTATCTAAGTGTTGTTGCATGCTTTGTTCCTTGTTTAGTGTGTGTTTAGCCGAGGTCATCTTAAGCCTAAGTTGCACCTTTGAACCTCTTACACCTAGAACCATCTTGAAACCACTTTGGTTGACCTCCACTTTCGCCCTGGCATATTGGCCGAGATGTCATCATCTAGGCCGAGATGTGTATCATCTAGGCCGAGATGTCATCATCTAGGCCGAGATGTGTATCATCTAGGCCGAGATGTTATCCTTTAGGTATTAGAGATCTTTGATCCCTGCACCTGGTGATCTTGTTCCTGGACTGGTATGACCTAGACCGAGGTGTGGCACATCTAGGCCGAGTGTTATCCTTCCTAGTCGAGATCATTGAGACTTTACTTGCCGAAGCCTTGTCCCAATCCGAGGTCATTACCTGCCGGAGTGCCCTTGTCACCTTGCTTGTCATACACACTTTGTCATAGCCTTGTCTTTTCACTCAGTCACCTTTTTGAGGAGAGCCAACCGGTCGTTGCCACGTGTCCCAGCAGAGGGTTAAGTCTGCTGGCAGTAGAGGAACCCACATCACTTTGTCATATCTTTTGCATGGTAGAGAGAGAAGCTCTAGGAAGAGAGGAAGAGGAGTTCTTGAGAGGGACGTAGATTTCCAAGCTTGACCTTTAGAGTCTAAACCGTTTGGTCCGAGTGTTGAGGTTAGATTCTTGATTTACTCTTGTTAATCTTTATGTTTATTCGATCGCATTGCATAATCTAGCATGATTCATGAGCCATGCATTGGTTTAAAGTTGTTTTAGAAAGAAAAAATGGTGTTCTTGTGTTCTTGAAGAAAAACCATGTTTTGATCCGAAAGTTTGTATCAAGATCCATGTTTTTGTGTTTGTTTTCTTAAGATCTTCAAGTAAAGTATGGGTGCCCAGGTCCATGTTTTCAAACTCATCTCATGAAATCTCAGGTTTTGAATAAAGAAGTTATGATTTTAGCATTCATGTTCTTGTCCTTCATGTTCTTCATGTTCATCAAGGGAGAAACCCAGATTTTCAGACCTAATTTCCCTAGGTGTGGTCACTAAAACCACTCTTGCCTAGATCTCACACCTAGGCCAAGCATCGTATCTCACCTTGGCCTATTTTGCATCATCACTTGCACCATTAGTTTATCTTGCATGAACAACTCGGCAGACAGCCGTTCGCCGAAGCCTTGGTAACCAGACCTCGGCCAAGAGGTGTGGGACCTCGGCAAAGACCTGGTTGGTACCTAGCAAGTTTTCCCCGATATGAAAAACAGTGTTTTAACTTCCAGCATGTTTTTCTTTGACTTGACCTAGTCTTGAAGAAAATGCCGGGATCATTTGCATTCATGAGAGGCTTGTCTTGAGAGTGCATTTCATATCCATCTTTGAGCATTCTTTCTTGTCTCTTTGAAGTGCATTCAGTAGACTTTGCCATGTGTTTGTAGGACTTGGACCTTTGCTTTAACCCCGACGTCTGAAGAGCTATGCGAGTGGTATTTTTAATAAAGCTATGTTATAAAATTTTGATAAAGCTTTGCTTTGTTTTAAAAAAGTATTTGATCAAGCATGAATGATTATCCCTAATTTTTGTATCAAGTATTATATTTGTTTTGATGACATTCTGGGAAAATCCTTAGTACCAGGGGACTATAATGTAACTGCACCCTTGTTTTGAAAGTCCTTAGTGCCAGGAGACTATAATGCAACTGCACCCTTGTTTTGCCACTGACGGTTTTCCGCATGGGTTTGTTTGTCCGGAATGTCATCCTTTGGTATTATATAGATGTTATTAACATCCAAGAAGCTTTGAAAGATTTGATAGATGAACTTGGTTCATCCCTTTGATTTGTGAAGTTATGATATGTATTGTTTTGGAAAAGACCTCGGATATCATTCATTCAAACCTTTATTACTTATACCATTCACTGAGTATCCAAGCTCACCCTCTCCTTACATATATGTAGGTGTTGAATAGGAAGGCGGTGACGCCTAGGTGTATTTTGCAAGCTTGTTTTGGATTCATACTTATGCTAGTATCTTGAAGATTATACTTCTTGGCTTGTAGTTTATTTCTTTTGTTTATGTCGGCTTGAGAAGCCTTTTGATCAAGATGTAATATGTACTTTATTTTATTTATATTCAAGTTGTAAACCATGTTAAGATGTATGTCATTTCATTTGATCTATGCACAGCTCTTATGGACTATTTAGATTTAAATTTATTGCTTCCGCACATGTAAGTCTCATATATATACTCTAATTGTGTGTGAATCTTTGTAAGTTGGCCTTTGGTAATCTCGGATTACTGGCCATCACGGCACCATTCTACTAGGAGCAGAATGGGGTCGTGACGTGACAGTTAGGGTATTCAAACCCTCTCCTAAAAAGCTTCTTCAGGCATTAGAAAGTTGTGATATTCCAACTAAGTCATCTCTCCACCACTCACTGGATCAAACTGGCAACGATAGAAGCTGCATAAATGCAAATCAATTATTTTACTTGTGAGAGAGAGAGAGAGAGAGATTGTGTTTACAAAAATTATGGAAGGTATGAAAATATCTCTCTCAAGAAGGAAGATTCAAAACGTACCCATTCTTGTTTGCACTATATCATATCATATTACATTTATCGATAACTAATACCTATTCTGAAGCAGACAAACATTTTCTGTATGTTTTTTAGGCAGCACTTAAATGAGAGGTTGGTTCGCAAAATCAAAACAAGCTAGAAATAACATGATACATTAAATTACTAAATCATTATGTATAAATTAAATCAATGATATCTTGTTACTTGTACACACCTTCCATCTAAGCCAAGAATTACAACAGTATTCTTTTGGTGACCAAATGCAACAATGTATTGAGAACCTTCAAGCAAACGCCATCTAAGCCAAGAATTACAACAGTATTCTTTTGGTGACCAAATGCAACAATGTATTGCGAACCTTCAAGCAAACGAAACTGAGCAACAGACCACTCTGAGCTGAAATACTTGGGCAATACTCCTGCAAAATGAGTAGCAACTTAGATCCTAAAATCAATGAAACAAAATTTATCTTTAAATGTTACCCTCCAGCATCCAGTAATAATTAATCAAACCACAGAAAACAGAAAACACAGAAATACCAGAAGCATTTTAAATAACATAGCGGATTAAAAATCATACCGAGAACAAAAGAACAGAATTGTAATCTCTATTCACAAAATACACCATTTGTCAAATATGCATAACATCTGCATGGTAATCAGAGTATTTTGGAGCAAAAGAAATGGTTCCTGTGAAATCTACCAATTTATGTAGTCTTGAGTTCTTTGAGAATCAAGAAGTTGATGCATTGTCAATAATAAAGACAACATTGATCCTTTGAAGAGTCTAGAATTGTTCATACATATATATTTGTGAACTGAGAAAGGAACCATTATGAGGAACTAGTCACTTGGTTTATTCCTAGTCCTCCAATGAGTTTTACCCCCAAATGACTTTCTGAAGCTTCATTGAACTTATTAAAAGGTAAAGCTATAAATTTTGTCCAGCATGTTTCAGAAATTAAAGGACAAGGTAACCATGGAAATTGAAGTTATGTAATGGACTACACAAAACCTTCATATCATCTTTTGGCATAGTTTCAGGACTTTTCCTTCGGAAAAATAAAATAAAATCCACCTTCTCTGAAAAGAAACGATTTCATTATGTTAATGGCATCTAAGCTGAAAAGTTTCCATCTCCAGGGCACTTGATGTGATCCTATTTTGTTGCTTGCTTGTCTAATGCACAAGATTGTTTTTAGAATTTCATTTAACGGTATTGATCCAAATTCTCTCCATTTTAGTGACAGCAGTTTGTGCAAATTGCAAACATAAACTGCATTCAAATGCCCATGCGCCCCTTAGTTATTTAAGGAAGAACATCAATGTGCTAGAAAAGAACTAAATTTTTTTTTTTTTAAAAAAAAAAAGGCAAGTTTGCAAGTGATTTGAGGAAGGCATCTTATTACCTTTTATAAAAGAGAGTGATGAAGTGGGTGATGAAACAGCATGATTGGGATCAGATGCACCATGTGACTTATCACTTCCCAGGTTTCCCAAATTAGCCTTTAGACCAAAAACATGGACAGTGCCCTTGTCGCTTGAGACTGCCAGCCACTGGGCAGTTGAAGAGAATGCCAGACTATATATTTCTGCACTATCTGCACCCCTCCTAACCTGCATTATATATCTCATTTAGTTTATCAACAATTTCTAAAACTGTTGAAAGTCAAGTGACCAAACTTATATCAGACTTGGGAAGAATAAATGATAATTTGGTTTGTCAAGGAAGAAGTAGAGCAACTCCACTTTTTAAGAAACAAAGGTAAGCATTCCATCCACATTTGAAAAACACAAACAATGCACAGCTTCCCCATATAGTCTGTTCTACAAGGATCCCTACGGAAGCCCATAATCTAATTAGAAATTAATGGAGATAAATGTCTTCAACAATACAAGGCCCTTAGTGCAGGGACTATGGATTACATTCAATTAATATAATTCTATCAGATGATATCTTTTCCTAATCAGGAAACTGATTACTCATTACAATACAATGCACCAAATTTAATTCTCTATACTTCACAGGTCTGTATTTGGTGCTCTGAATCATTCTGTCCTTAACACTCTCTATGAAATCATATATGGCGTCATAGTGACTGCTGAACTCTTCTAGGAATATCAACACAAGCATGCTTCGTAGTATTATCATCTACGTAATAATACATCATGCTTTCAAACTTGGTAGGCTTCACAACAAAATAATTATATTTTGCCTCCAATAGCTTAGAGAATTCCGTTTTAACTTCTCCACCATCTGGACCGTAGATCCAGTAGATAGATCTATGATCAGGCGATCCTGATATATATTCCATAAGAATATTCTGCCATGGATGACGGGGGTGCACATCAGCATACCTCTTCTGTAAACATATGTATCTGTTATACATGTCCGGATACTCAATCTTAGCACTCTCAGGGTCTTCTTCACATAGTTGGATCCTCTTCCTCTTATGCTGACCAGGGGCTACAGGCTCACCAGGCTCAAAGATAACATAACCTTCTTTAGAACAATACACCTTGTTCTGTAGATCTGAACCAGTGGCATTAGTTAAATGCACTGTTTGAGAACCAAGGAAATCTTTCACAGCACCAGGTCTCTTCACATTCGTGAAGGAGATGAACCCTTGATAATGGTCTCTCAGGGTAGATGAACTCTTCTCTGCTCCAATAACACAATATTTCACTTCCGTACTGAATATATTTTGTTTAAAACAAAAATCGTCCCAAAGGGTAAAGCAGAACCTCCTCCCTTGCTTTAATGGAATACTCATTTTATTAATAAATATAATAAAATATAGGAAGGGAAGGGAAGTAGGAAAGGGAGTGGGGCGAAAGATTCGAGATAGGTACATGGAAGATCCTGATGATCTTCGTTATGATGAACCCTCTAAATATCGAAGAATCCATTGTGACAGTATCACTAGATCTAATTCTGAACTGTTCCCTGAATTTTGCAGGGAATGGCAAATTGAAGTTCAAAGATTAATTGCGGAAGAACCTGATAACCGTCAGATCATATGGGTGTACGGTGAAGATGGTAATGAAGGCAAATCTACATTTGCTAGACATCTCTATCAGAATTGTTATTGGTTTTACACAAGAGGTGGAAAGACCGATAATTTTATTTATCGGTATATTGAAGATCCAAAAAAAAATGTGGTGATGGATATCCCAAGGGATAAAAAAGATTATGTTAGCTATGGAGGAATTGAGATGCTTAAGGCCAGATTTATTGGCCAAGTTTTGCATGATTGAAAAAAGACAAAAAGTCAAAAAGTCACTATCCTATTTAAGTCACATCATCTTATTTAAGTCACATTACCTCTCTAACACATCACTTCAAACTCAACCCAAACCCAACCCATATTTCATAAAAAGTCAAAAAGTGCACTTATTTAGTCTTCTCAAACTAGGCCTGAATCTAATAAATTTGAACCAATATTTTGTGCTACTAGTCAATGGAAAATTCACGTAATAGTGATGGCAAATTTTCTTCCAAATTTTCTTCCAGATCCATTGAAGATATCGGAAGATAGATATAATATTATTTATTGTAATTGACCTAGTGGGTCTGGTCCAAATAGGCTACTGTAGACGTGCCCGAACGTCCCGGGTTCCGCGCGTGAATAGGCGCGAAATCCGTTTTGTTCATTGGCTTACTACAGCTCGGACTCAATGTCACGGTTCTGAATCTAATTTCGCAAAGTGTAATGCAAAACTGATAAATCACCAAAGAGTCCAAATCCGACAAATCGTTTTGGAAAACTAATTTTTAGAAAGAAGTGTCAAATATGGACTGCTTTGCCAAATACAGAGTCACCACCTAAATATTTTGTTTTTGAAAAATTTAGGAAACCCTGACTCGTGCCTAAGGCCACGTGTCCGTCATCACCAAAGTTGTCTCGGCTCGAGAACTTGGGTACGAGAGGGGAAGGTCCTGAAATGAGCACCCCCGCTCGCCCGATCAAAGATCGGCCTTTACTAACATGATACCTTGTTTTTGAAAACACATGCGTTTTTATTCCGGTGTATTAGCCTAGAATTACTATGTGATGCGCACAGCATACAAGTATAGACTAGATCACCTAAGTTGGAACAAAACATCTCATGTTTGTTTGTTTGAAAATGGTTTCAAGTTGCTACTCGCAAGTAGGCTAAGTGGATTTTGCCACCCTCGAGTGGGCTTTAGAAAACATGATTTTGCCACTTCAAGTGGGCTTAAAACCCACATTTCGATGAATTGTTCAAATTCAAGTAATCCAACCTCCACCCACAGGCATTCAGGCAGTTATATCACATAAGCAAATAGCCTCATGGCAAGCATGCTATCATGGCAATACTCACACTCATGCAAGATGCTAAAGCATAAAAACTCACCTAGTACTCCGAGCCAAAACAAAAGCTAGTTAGTAATCAATGCATGATCCTAGTTCATGTTAAAATGGCTAATGCAACACATGCAAAAATGCAACTAGATAGGCTCGGCTATTCTAAAATGGCATATGAGATGCAACAATTGATACATGTATTCAACTTGGAATTGAAATACGATGCAGTTTGTATTATGCGCCGAGCCCGGTGCATGCAAAACAGATGAATGAATGCAAACATGCAAGCATAAGGATGCTAATTAAAACATGACCTAAAACTAACCACTGAAAGCAGATAAGTAAAAGGGAGAAAGACGTGAGATTGGAAGACATTCACACACTCACGCACACTTATTACAAAATTCGCCCTCTCGACGGAGGGTCCGAATGAATAATACAAACCAACTAATTAACTAACTAACAAGCTAATTAATTATTACACAACCAAATTGAATAACTAGCTACAACTACTTACTAATTATTACAACACTTAATTAATTAACAAATTAACTAATTACAGATTGAAGCTAACTAACAACTAAGCATTTAAACTAAGCTGTTCCAGCTCTGGTTGAAGGAGAAGAGGATGCATGCTCGGTTGCTGTCCCGAAAAGCTCTCCGAATGCTCTTTTAGAGGCTCTGTCTGCAGGGTGTCCTTGAGAACTGGCTGCTGGATCTTACCAAAGACATGCTGGGGAGTGCACCAGTGGCCTGCCGGCCATGAGGAACTGTTGCCGACCACCTTGCCGACCAAGAGTGCACGCTACCGGCCATCAACAATGGATTGCTAGCCAACAACAAGGAGGTGTCGGCTACTGGTGTGCTGTGACACCAAGCTGCAGCAGAGCACAAAACAGAGGAAATGGAGGGTCTCCCAAGAGTATGTACGCACTATGCCACTCCATATCACCTCGAAACATCAAGGGAGAGGCATAATCGGATCCAAGACCATCAATCACGCATCTCGATGCATGATGGCCAAAGATCCATTTCAATGTAAAATGAATGCACAAAAACACATAAATGCCTAGAACTCTATCATGCACAAGAGGGTCGGCGACCGAGAATTGAGGCACGTTTCATCACTTCAAGTATGAAACGTCCCTCGTTCCTCGTGTTTGGCTTAATACCCAAACCAAACACAATGCAATGCAAGGTGTGCCAAACACAATGCTAATGCAATATGAGCATGCAAGTATGCAATGCAACTGAAGCATGCAACAACAATACAATGGAACAAGCATGCAACAACATGCTACATGTCAAGCATGCAACAACATGCCACAACATGCAATGTACCAAGTAATGCAACAAGCATGCAAATGTCATGCAACTCAAGCATGCGAGCATGATGCAATGTAACAACATTTGAGCAACATGGTGAATGGACTTAAACTAAAAATGGACACACCTCAGTCATGCCCATATCAGTGGCCAAAATGATGAAATGATGGCATGAAATGCAAAACAAAGCATGCAAATGCAATGGCTCAAGAAGTAAGGCATAAGGACACAACTCTCAAACATGAGCAAGGAGTGACAATCATGATAATGTGGCAATGAGGTAAGCTCTGAAATCTCATGTAAATTGATGCCAAATCAACTAAACAATGCAAGCATAGCATGCTAGGATGTTCAAAGCTTAAGACTAGCCAAGGAGCTTGTACCAAGGCCACATGAATCAAACCCCAAAGGGCCAACGACAACCAAAACAGTCCCAGATCATGCCAAAATGAATCTCAAACATGCATGGACCAAGGCCAAAACAAGTCAACATGAAAGGCATAAAGCATGGTGCAAGTAAGGCCAACAAGGGAGATTGCACTACACCTATTACAACCAAACAAGGCATGACTTAACCAATAAAAATCAGAGTTATGGCATGTCAAAATAAGCCCAAAAACCCGCTGAGATGGCATCCCAAAGACCTAAGCATATAGGCATGCACAATGATCCATTCATGAGGCATAAAACACCAACTCTTCAAGGCATTGAAAGCATGACAAAGGCAAGTGTATGACCATGAAACATGTACTGATATAACATTTCAAATGATGCCAAAGCATGCAAACATCACAAGTTAAACATGCAAGCTCCCTCAAAACTCAAGGCTAGTCAAAGCATTTGCTCTATAGCTATACTAAACATGAGTCACATGACCATGACAGCTCAAAACTGTCCTAGAACAGCCCAAAATATGAATAAAATCATGCTGGAGCATAGCCAAAATATGCTAGAATGATG